GGGACAAACCACGAACGAGGAGTCCTTGGGAGACGTCGTCGAGATGGTGTTGGGATTCTTTGAGGTGATGTCGTACTTCCAGCACGAACTGCCACTGTGGAAGGATGCATGGAAGATCAAGAGGGAGTTCGAGCAGTCAATAGTGCGACACCTCGCTGGGAACGTGACCCACACGACGGGCCAGAACAGAAAGCGGAACAAACCGTCCGCACAGCTCGGCGTGCCCACGAAGGAGGTGCTTGACATCATGAACAAGGTCAAGCCCAGACATCCACGATCCCTGATCACCGAGCCCTCTGCACAAGGTTCCAAGAGAAAGGCCACGGAGGGCGATGATGAGGGTCTTGGTCAAGCACCAGACCCGAGTCGAAGCTCTCAAGCCAATACTGAGAAGGAAGACAAGAAGCAGCGTGTGATCGACGGGCGGAGAGCGGCACTAGGATTCCTGGAGTCAATGGAGAAATGCATGGGAGATATGGGGATCTGTAAGAAGTGCGCGAACCTGGCCCACGACGGCGACTGCAAGGACATTGAGGAGGCTGCTGGAAATGAGAAGGCGATGAAGGTGCTCCGTGAGCTACTCAGCAGTGACCCTATTTCATCTGATGATGACATGGGGGATACGGAGGAGCCGTCCTCATCAACGTCCAAGGAAAGAAAGAAAGGAGGAAAAGCAGGGAAAGAAACAATTGAGATGTACAGCTACACTATTAATTTGGTGGAGATGGCTGACACGGCTGAGGGAGGAGAGCTACAATGTGGTGGCGTCGACCTCACATACAACCCGTGCGGGGACAGCAGGACATTCAAGAAGACGCTTGAGATGGGATGCGACACCATCCCGTGCTACATCCCGAAGTACGGCGACTTGATTGATGTGCACATGCCACGGGCATACGCGTCTATTGTTGACCCCAGGTACTTTCCCAGAGGTGCAATCCTTGAGCAAGTGGACGTGATGCAACTTGGCAAGAGTGTCAACTTTTGCATTGCTCCTTTCGACGGTGCTCCACTATGCAGGATTGGTGATGATCGCTCGGTATTTACTTCAAGGGACCAAGCAAACCAGCTATCTCACGACCTATGCAGAGTCCTTCGACACAAGATCGGCAATTGCCGAGGAAGTGCTTTCAGGTGCGACGAGGGTGGATGGGTCGACATTGATGCTGTCATTGACGACGACCGAAACAACGACATATTCCCACCTAACACCTCGAGAGCGAAACGATACATGGGCATCATGGAGGTGATCAAGTGGCAGGAATCCGGAAGCAAGAAGTCGAGATTCCAGGTTCTGGCAGCAAGGTTTCCGAGCATCATGAACCCGAACGACACGAGGGCAGCCAGGGAGGAAATGAACAAGGCTGGCGTGGATCGGGACGACATCGACAGGATGTTCAACAGATGCGACGGATGGTACAGACCTTGGTGCATCCGAGTCACAACCGGTCACAGTGATTTTGGATTCATGAGCTCATCCGCACTGGCGAATAGGTATTCCGCAAGAATGGGTGATACTCTCGGAGGAGCATTCCATGTGACGTATGTGGAAAACCTGCCAAGCATCGTACGCTGTGGGCTAGTCCCCGGCGGAATCGATGGCGGTAACAGGCTAGCACTGCACTTCGGGGCATTTGCTCCATGGGATGAGATGAACGTGGCGACGAAGACAACGCTACGGAACGTGAGGAGAGGGGATCCGATTGCGATCATCTATATTCCCAGTGCAACCCTCGCGCGGTATGGGGCTGGAGTCGCGGCTAATGGGACTTTTATGGTCTTTGACGTGATCCCGTTCTATGAGGTCAAGTCCATTTGGATTGGCAAAAGCAATGGAGGGAAGAGCCTGGAGTACGCTGACATCAAGAGGGCGTACTCGAAGTGTGTGGAGAACGAGATCTGCCCTGGCTTTGTCAACTCATCCCAAGAGTCGGCTGCGATGTTCCTCCAGAACGTCGCAAAGATCAGCGAGAGGATGCCGGAGACCGAGACAGGTGCTGACAATCTACACTACATCGTTGACATGGTTAACCGTGCTTGCGAACTCTATCGAAACAACAAGATGGAAGAGTTCAACGCACAGGTCAACGAGGTCCGGGACGAAGTCAGCAAAGTCGTCATCCTGAATGATGAGACATGGGAAGGACTGAGGTGCCGGATATGTCCATCATGTGCGACCGCGATCCTACCTGCTTCTGCTTATGCCTGGAGTGCGAGGCACAACTGATCTCCATCGGAAGATACTACATTCACATCAAATCCGATGACGAGGAGGACAACCAAAACCCCAACGTCTCTGGAGATGCCAGGCGTGCACAGGAAGAAGCTAACCACGATGCGGCAGCACAGGAGGATGAAGACGAAGCGGAGGAAGTTCCGGGAGAAGATGACGACATGGACACGCAAGGATATACATCCGGCTATGCGTCAGAAGAAGAAGACGGCGGTTGGCATTACCGCGACACCGATCTGACGTCACGGGACATTATAAGTTCCCAACGGATGGCGATCTGCCTTGACGAGCCGCGTGAGGCTCAGTACATGGCAGGATTTATCGCACTCCAGCTGTCCAAGATGTGGGGGATGTTTGAAGGTGGTGAGGATAGAACGATGATTGCCAAGCTCGAGGGGAGAGAGGGCTGCCCTTACCACAATGACTTCAAGGAGGTACCCCAACATCACTGAGCATGATCAGGAAGGTATACTTTTGCCATCAACAATAACGAAGATTTCTCAATCGGAGAATGTTCGGACAAGGGCCTTCCGATCGGTTGAGGAGCGTGACGAATATATTCGTATGATGGTGAACAAATGCGAGGGACTATACACATTCTACAAGCTGTGGATTGCAGCAAGAATCCTCGATGTCACCAAGGAAGAAATGAAGCTCCTGGTCAAGGACCGAGTGCACCCGGTGGGTGATATTATTTTCAGATGTTTTGCACTTGCTTTCAACTGTAAGTATATATCATTCGTGAGGGATGGCCTAAACCTTGGCAAGCATGGTTACGCGGTCAATGTGAGCGCCATCATCTCGGCCGTCGACCCGAACAAATGCGACACACCCCTGCTGGATTGGTGCCTTCGGAAAGGGCACTGGTTGCCAGAGGACTACAACAAGAAGTGTGTCCGGGCACGAGAAGCCCAGAAGAACTTGGACGAGGAGTTCCGCCGACGTACCCATAGGCTGTCCATTGGGGACAGGTATGCTTCGTGAAGATGCTGATTGCGGTACGATGTGGGTCAGTCCCCATCTGTTACTTGCGTCACATCGACACTGTTTCGGTGGAACGACTTATGTCATGATTTATATTCATGTGTCCAAGATGATTGGATGTGTACATGGTTACATATTCCGATGACTATGACGCTCTGGATATTCATGGATGGAACTATTACCTTATAGATGATATCTTTTCATTATTTATGTATTGTCCATGGTATCTGGAATGGCTATGATTTGCATTGATTACTCACCGATGTTTCTTTGCCGGAGATATGCAGACCGATCACAAGCGGGCGCGCATGGTGGACATTTGTGGCCAACCCATTTATGGATGACAGCTGCGCGATGCGCAAATGCGGCAGCTGGAATGTTCACTGGCGGTCAAGTGAAGTGGCCACAGTGTATTATATACACCTGCATATGGATGAGTGCTTCGATTGGAGGATGAATGTTTCACTTTTCGTACAATCGAACCCGGCATGTTTCACAGCGAATGAACGGTGTAGTGATAGCAAGTAAAAGAGTGCACGACACGATTTCGTAGTTGAAGCCGTGGCCAGTGGAACGTTTTGTGGTGTTTGGACCGCATGATGAACAATGCGACCCAAATGGGGGATGTTAAAACCCTCTAGGCCCCGTGCCGAAATTGGGTAGCTGTTCTGAGGTCCTTGTTGGTGTTGCTTCCCAAGTTCCATTGATCGCCATCTGGCTCAAGACACATTTGAGGTTCAAGATCCGATGTGTGACTGCGGATCTCCGTGATTGGCACAAGAGCAAAACAACCGCTTGCGCCGCAGGGTCAGGACTACTGCTGTGATTATCATTCCTTCTTCCTTACAACGTTTACACGGGTTCGGCTATAACGGCATCGTCCGTATACACCTTTCTACGTGGTTGGTATTGAAGCTTGAGGGTTCGGTGCACAGCGTCCCACGGGACGTCACCTTGCCGTCTCTTGACAGTTCATAACAGGGGTTCAGATATGGACGTATACATTCAGCCTTTCATTGGGGACCAACTCCTCCAAGACTGAACACCATCTACAAGGGGGTCCCCTGTTTTGGGGGGTGGGGAGTGGCGGTGATGGGGCAAACCCGCATATACACAACTTACACAACGATCTCTTTCAGCAACGCATTCACATCCGTCATCCACGCACTTGACGTGTTGTTTCACGTATCGGCTGGAGAGGTACGCTGCCCGGTTTTTTGTGCACATGTCAGCGTGCCATTGATGTGCAGTGCCAAAGGCGGGAGGCTGCGCCTAAGCACAGCAGTCTTTGCAAGAGCTGCATTTTTGACAGCTGATGATATTACACAACATGAATCAACCTGTGAGAGGATTCTTTTGTACCAGTTGTCCTTCATGATGGGTTTTTCCTACTGCACCCTGGGATTACGCCCTTTGGGGAATCACCCTAGTTTAGCCTACTTCCAGAGAAGACCTCTACTGCACCCTGTGATTGCGCCCTCTGTGGAATCGCCCTATTTTAGCCTATTTCCAGATAAGACCTCGTTATTTTGGTCTATTTGGGATTATCTGGGGTGATTTTTCCAGGGTGGCATCCCAGGATGTAATAGGAAAACCCTTCGACCGAGTGTTGCCAGCTGAGTCTCCACGCTCCCCGCAGTTGCTGCGTCTGTTTCGGGGACGTCGGGCGCCGAAGTTTGCGTGAACATGAAAGAAATGCGAGAGGCAGCAGGCACTTGAGGCACTCTCGTTGGCACGTTGGTGCAAGAATTGGGCTGGGCGGATGCAACTGGGGTCTTTTCAGGAGCTCTTTGACAACAAGATCACCAGCATGCAGAACTTCAAGTGGCAGCAGCAGCTCAGGCTGGGCGCGTCAAATGCCTGGCACGCAGGAAGAGCAATGCGTGGTGTACGTAACGAAACCTTAGCGACAAATTGGGTCCTTGCATTTGAGGAACTCTTTCCTTTGGTCCAAATCGAACGGGCGCCCCCAAGCCTTCCCAGTTGAGGATATTTGATGTCGAGCCCAGCGGGAAAGCTCTCACACGTGTTTTCACTACGACCTCCAAACTTAAAACGGCTGTGGGTCAAAACCAATGGTACCATTTTGGGGTAGGTGCACCACCCATTTTAGTTTATTTTAGTGGGGATCGGGATGTTCAATGGGACGGGATTTTGACCCCTGGCCACATCTGAAACTATGAGGCAGATGCCGTGAAGGACATGTCATGGCTCGGTTGGCCCGGTTGGGGTGACAGTCGCACCCCATGCCGGCCCGGAGCTGGAAAACCGCCAATCCTCCAACCTTACAAAATGACTGTCTTGCTCTCGTGAGGTACTACTGGGATCCCAAGCTGGATGGCGACCACGGCGATTGCTGTATCCGGCAGGCACGGATCGATGTCTTGGACAGCTTGGGACTTGTGGAGCTTCAGCTTAGGATTGGAAGTCGCGATGTGGAAACCATGCTCTGGCACAGGCTTTTCTTGTCAACACAGATGTTTATGGCGGCCTTGTCCCACTATCAGACAACTGGTGGACTGCTTTTGCTATTTGATATGCTGACTGGTGCTGTTGATTATTTAAACAGCAACAAGTTCATTGGGCAGTGCGACAAGGCTGCGGCGAAGCAGCGCAGCTATGCTTGAACAGCTGAGCCACAATCAAACCCGGCCAGTTGAAAGATAGTAGGAGACGGCCCCAGCCAGACATAGGTGTGGCCACCTATTTGATTCTGCACATGGTTTGGGATAGCCAGACTTGTACCAGGCTTTGTTTTTGACAGCTGAAATGGTCCTCCAAGACTCCGAGCGTAGGGACTTCAACCGGCCAGAGCGGGGAGCCGCCGAGCCCCCCAAACGCGTCGAGGTGTCAAATGTGGGTGTTGAGCAGAGCTGCGGCGGGGAGTGCAGAGTCAGGTTAGACTCCTGAATGAATGCTTTTAAAATGAGGAAGATGGAACACCGATCTCAAATGAAATACAAAGCTGTGTGTGTGTGGTGCGTGTGTGTGGTGTGTGTGTGTGTGCGCGTGTTTCTTGCCGTTGTTTCCGCAACCTCCGAGTGACTGACAGCCAGGTAGATGCCTTCATCATGTATGGCCACGAGTACATGGGAGCTTGGGAAGGGCGGGACTACACAGATCCGTCATCAATTGGAGACGTGTTTTCCGTCTACAAAATGGCTTGATTTTGGTTTCCAGGTTTGTGGAAAATAGGGTTTTATGGCAATTTTTTGTACTACTACACACGGGGAATCCTCTTTGAAATTATTAGGGTCACAGAGCGGGCTATTTTTCTGCAACCGCGTTAGTTTCACTTTGAAGCACCCCCATCTTCAAAAAAAGGGCCAAACCGGACTGTTTCTGTCCAGAAACTTTGCTTCATGTGATTAGCCATGGTTAATATCATCATCAGGGACGTCGCGTTAGTGACCGACCTGTGGTGTTTTGGCTCAAGTTTTGGGTTCCGTCGCGCCTCGAATGGGCGTCGCCGAACCCCTGCGTCGACCGACGGCATCTCGGGGGAGAAAGAGACCTCGGGCCGCCGCCAGGTTGGTAGGGACCAGTCGTGCGGCCTGTTGTCGACCAAGGTTGCGGGTTAACCCTTTTCTTGTTTGGTTTGTTTTCCTTTTGGTTGTTGTTCTCTGGTGTGTGGGAAACCCTGATCTTTGGGACCGGGGATTGGTTTGCTTTTGGGGAACCTTTCTTTTGTGGCTTGTTTACCCCAACTTACCCATTGCCTGGGCACAGGCTCGTGCCCGAATCACAGGTTATCAGCCGTAGGACTTTCCTACGCGCTTGAGACCATCAACTACAAGCTCTATGTCGACCCCACGATCTCGAAGGAGCGTCGTGGATGAGGAGGCCATCCTAGGGGGCCTCCGCTCAGGTGAGGACCTACCGGACTACGACTACGAGGATTTCGAAGCAGGTTCGACAGGTCAGGATCGCAGGGGTGAAGATCCCGGTAGGGACACACCCAGGAGCCGTGGCAGGTACACCGACGATGGAGACGATCGCATTTTCCGTCAGGCCACCGATGATGAGCAGACACGAAGGGTTCGCTCCGATAGGAGCGGCTCTGAATCAGGTCACAGGCGCGGACAGTTCGACTTCATCAGCATGGCGATGAACATGGCCCGCCCCCATTCGGACGACCCGGAGGCTATGCCGACCCGACCCCCGAGATCTCTTGTTCCAGGTGAATCGCAGGTCTCGGATGAGTTTGAGGGCAGGCCGCAGGGACCAGGGACTATGGTTTTGGCTCCGAGAGATATCTCGGGTCGATCCACTGGTTCTCAAAATCCAGGTCAGTTTGATGAGCACGAGGAGCGGAAATTCTCAGACTTCGGATACGATGCTCTGTTGAAATCAACCGCAGGTTGGGGCAGTAGCTCAAAGCAGGGATCTGAGGCCGGTAGGCCCAACCCTAATACTGCCAAATCTGAGTCCTATGATGGCGAAGATTACAATTTTGCGGATGAGGAGGAGGACCGATCACGCCGAAATGCTAGGATCCGTGATGCTGCGAGGCCCAGGAGCCTCTCTCGTGGAGCCGCCAGGGACCTTCGTGTTGACAGGGACGCCCGAAGCGAGAGAGAGAGAGCCAGGGAAAGTCGGGAAGTTCTTCGGGGATTGGAGGCCATCCATGACCGTGAGGGACCGATAGGTCCCCCAGCGATTGGTGATACCCCGAATGTTCCTCCTTTTCCCAACATTACATTTGGAGGTCCGTTGAATCAGAGAGACGTGAACTCGAACCGGGTTACTGGTTCGCCAAGGATCACTGAGCGGGCTGCCGATATCGTTAGGACAGGTGCCAGAGATGGTCGACTTGCCGATGCACTCGGGATCGAAGATCGTCCGTCGATCGCAAGCCCGTTAGGGCGAGATAACAGTGACCTTGAAACGCTAAGGTCTAGTAACGAGTTCACACCTCAATGGGGCTCGACCGCCAGGGAACGTAGTGTTTCTGCAAAGAGGCCGTCGCCCCTCGCCATTGAGACCGATAGGTCAAAGGCGAGGAGGGCTAGCCCCTCACCAATGGGCTCAACTCCGCAGGATGAGGAGATGCCCGATCCTGCCGATGTTCACATTCACTCTACTCCCGAGTCTCGTGCATCCAACGTTGATCCCCGATCTGGCGATAGCCGGAGAAGGGGATCTACCCCGAGTAGGCCACCCAGGATTGATGATTGTCCTGTAGGCGACCCCAGAAGGCATGCTGGGGCTAGTGGGGCTCCTGAGAGGATCGAGATATCGACTCCTCCTGCCCTCAGATCCCAGTCTTCCGGCGAGTCAGGTGACGCTAGGGCAAAGGAGGTGTTCGATTTGCACATCCAGGAGATGCTCGAGAGGGGTGAAGTTTCTGGCTCAGTCGCGAAGGCGTTCCATATTTTTGCTGACCAAATCAGGTTACTGAACGGTCAGGTGAGTTCCATGCGTAGGGAATGGAGCGACGAGAGTCGACAGACGAAGGACAAGGTCGATCGCCTGGAAGCTGAGATTGCGACTCAATCTGATGCCGGTAGGATGCGAATGATAGTTCAACGGTTTGCTAGGGAAGTTATTCCTGACAGCAAAGCCATTGTGAGGCAAGCCATCGACGAACAGGCTGAGGTCGTGGAACAGAGGATCAATCTGCTTTCACACGAGGTTCATGAATCTGTTAAGGACAATGAGGCCTCGACTGATCGGCTTCGCCAGATGATCCAAGAGAATCGTGAGGCCGTCCACAGGAGCCATGCTGCTTCCGAGGATGAGATCCTCAAGGACCTGGACAAGCTCGAGGGACGGATGTTCTCGGTAGAGAAAACCGTCGGGATGCGGACGCCAGCAGGTGAATGGAATTTGAATCCTGTCGCGCAACCGCCCGATAGGGCCAGCAGCAGCGTTGTGAACGCGAATTTCAGAGAGTTAAACCTGAAGCTCGAGAAGGCTCTCCTTGAACACGAGAAGTTTGCTAAGTGGGCCTCCGAATCTATTGGTGGCATTAATGAAGAGCAAACCATTCTTGCTAATCGGATGTCGAGGCTGCAAAGTGGAAGGGGGTCACAGGCGGTCGATAGATCACCAGGGCCTGTATCCCCGCAGGACTGGCATGAGGCAATTGACGAAGTCAATCGAAAGGTCCAGGATCTATCTCGTGGAGTTCAACGCCACCATGGGGATCATGACGATGTCCTTGCAAGGTTCGAAACCTTGAAGTCCCGTGTTGAGCAATACGAAGCGAGTTCGGGGATTCTGAATCAAGTTCTTGATGACATCAGAAGACAGATCCGCAGTCTCCCTGCGAATAGTGATCAAGCGCGGTCTGCCGTTAGGCGTGAAATTGACTCATTCCGGAGTACGCTTGAGGGCGCTATGCGGAGAATCAGCACTGTCGAGAGTAACATGCGTACTCTTAATGGAATGAACAACAGAATCATGGCTCAGCTCTATGAGATCGAAGGGCATGTTGATGAGGCTGCTGGCATTATCCAGGGTGTCCAGGACAATCAGGCAAATCCTCCACAGCCCAGAGAGAGACGGAACGTTGGATACGACGCTTTCGCGGGGCAGGGGCACAGAATCAGGTCTCCAACCCCTACTCCTGGAGAGGGTAACGGTCGGGGTACTGGCCTTCCGGTGAGGCCGGGCGGAGGTGTTGGTTTGGTTGATCACGCTTTGCCAGGTGGGCCCGGTAGGGTCGATCCTTCTCACGCAGGCAGGCATCCCGTTAATCCCGATAGGGAGAGGGCTGACAGCAGAAGCAGGAGGGCTCGGGGACTGCCTGACAGGTCGCATTCACCGCCAGGCCGTGCGAGGGGTGGCCCCCGCGCACGCGAGAGAGGGGACATTTCTGTTTCTCCCAACAGGGATGTGGGTAGGAACAGGAGCCCGAGGCCTGCTGCCGTCCCCGATAGGGGATCTGAGGTCCGGAGTCGGCAATCGAGGGGGGAGAGGCCGATCCGCGATAGCGGGAGTGTCTCTCCGAACCTGGATAGGCCGATCCGCGATAGCGGGAACGTCTCTCCAAACCCAGACCGTCATCCAGGAGGTGGTAGGGGTAATAGGGCCCATGCCGACATCCAGAGTCCCGGCGATAATTGGAGGACTCCTGGGAGTAGAGCTAGTGCCGATATCCAGAGTCCCGGCGATAGCTGGAGGACCTCTGGAGCTCCATCTGATCGTGGACAGGCCTCGGCACCGGCCGCAAGAGGAGCTCCCGGTACCGGTGGCCCAGGTGCGCCAAAGATTTGTGCCCTCGATAATCCCAACGACCGTAGGCACCCGGACGCTGAGTTCTCGTGTGTTACGTGCAATCGTGAGTTTTGTCGGCTTTGCCGGGGTGACGACGGGGACTGTTGCAATTGTCAGTTCTTGAAAATGAAGTGTTGGGCATGTCGCAAGAATGCCCAGGAGGTCTCAATATATTTCTGCACGGATTGTGGGAACCACGTTTGTGAGGATCACAGTTATTTTGGCAGTGACGGCCTCGAGCGATGTGCGCGCTGCAATATTCGGCATGAACGTGATATCGCTGGACCGCCTCCTCCTCCCCCTCCTGGGAAAGGAGGTGGGCAAGGCGGACCACCCGGTCAAGGTGGGAGCGGACGCGGTGGTCACGGACATGCTCCATTTCCACCACCAGGTCCTGGACATCCTGGCGGAGGCCAAGGTGTCGCTGGACCTCCTGGAGGCCCGAGTGGAGGGGCTCCTACCGGGGGTTACCCTGGTGGAGCACCTGGGTTTTATGGTAGTGCTGCTGATGCTCAGGGAACTGGGAACAATCAGTGTGGTTCCAGCTTCTATGGTCCTGCCTACGGAGGAGGCGTTAGCCACCACGGGGTTGGCGCTGGCGTTAGTCAGCCCAACGATGCTGTAGGTTACCCCTCGAGTGTTGCAAGTGGTGGTAACCTTGGGCCAGGTCTCAGCCTTGGCTACAGCGTTAATGGGGCCGGTAGGCAGGGAGATGGTGGTCTTCTCCCTGAAGCCTTGAGGGGGGATGATGGACGGGACAGGTGCACTAAGTGTAGCAGGATCCCTGAGCCTGGCTTCCCTCTTGTTCCTTGCGTCGGTTGTGGAATGAGGGCGTGTGAAGTTTGCTGCCCTATGCCTGCTAGGCTGTGTGA